GTTAGAATCTACTATATAATAATTGTACAGAGATGTAGCACTACCATATTTGGTGGTATAGTAGTTTACTTAAATAAAAATTTATCACAGAGGGCGCTATAATCATTGCTGACCAATTATCATTCACACATTACTCTGTTTAACCATCCTCAATGAAATTATTTTGAAAGTAGAAAATTCATCATCCATAATCAGTCAACAGTTGAAGATTGTGGACTTTGAAAATAGGGGGGAAGAGAAAAAGACAGAGATTTGCAGTTGTGTTGGAGATAAAATAAGAAAAAAAAAATTAAAAAAAATGAAAATAAAAGGCAATATTTTAAATTGCTTATTTTGTTAAAGCAAGCTAAATTATTTTTAGCATTCAATTAAAAATTTTGATAATAAAATATTTTCACTACCAATTTAACATACATATAAACTTGGCTGGTAATCAATTTAATATATTTCTAATAAAAAAGGGCTCTATGAAAACCTATTATGGTTCGACCAGTGGTTCATTTAAACTTAATAACTTATTTAAATGAGGTTTTTTTATAATTTTATGACAAACAGAACACCTTTAAATTTATTTTAGTGATACAGCTAAAATAGTAGGTTATTATATAATTATTATGAAATTAGTATACAGATTTTTTTTACCACCCCTTCATCCTAATTAGTAGCTATTGTATTGATGTGTTTCAGAATATCTAGTTCAAGGTCAAACCCAAGGTCAAAACAATAAATACGAGAAAATTGTATACACACAATCCATAATGTAAATATAAATTTCAATAAATACATGTTACAAACAATGCTCTTTCGATAGACTATGGTTAATAAAAACATCTTATATTCATAAGAAAGAATATGTCTACTCGCCTGTAAACTGATACTGACGCTATTGTTAGCAAGAGAGAACAAAATGTTACGTTAACAGCTAGAGTTAAGATCAGCTTAAATCCAAGCTCTGAAAGGTAACAATTTACAGATAGATAACCAAAAGATTATCATCATTAAAGATAAAATACTGTACAAGTATTCAATAATTAAAAGTATTAGATTTTAATTGGGTAAATAAAGATTATTTCACTAATCACTGCACTATCATTATATATTGGGTAACTAAGAAATACTGTATATATATACGGTGATTATTAACAATATGATTTCAACAGCCAAATACAATATAGGTCTCCCTCCAATTAAAGACCACTTTTGGGACCAAGGTTTCCATGGTCTTAGCCGCTTTGGTCTCTAATTAGAATAATAATGATAAGACACATTTGTTAAAATGTAACCACAGAAAAGCGGTCTTTAATTGGAGGGGTCTTTAATTAGAGGGAGACCTGTATTATTAATTAAAATCCTCAAAATATGACTTGTTGCATAAGTCATATTTTCATTGGATGATTTGAAGATAAAAAAATTGTAAGTATTTTAGGTACTGTTTGAGCGAGTGGAGTTGTCGGGGTAAAGGTTAAGAGTGCCGCAGCCTTCAGAAGACCTGCTCCATGGTTTGGTGTTACATGGATTTAATGCTATTTTTAGCATAATATTTTTTTTATTGAAAATATTTTACTTTGTACCTACTTTTGTGTTGTTCGGTGCGTCTATACAATACAAAATACTTTTTTTTTTGTGTGAAAGAATTCAATATAGGCATAATGTATTAGAGACTGCGTATTATTCCAGGAAAGTCAATTACTCATGTGCTACATTCTTTGATAAAGGAATCCAGAATTTTTTAAACAGAGAGTGTGGAAGACACAACATGTAAAAGCAGATTTGTTATAAGTTCAAGTAGGCGTTCAGGTGGGTCATCTTAAATTATTTTCCTTACTTTATTTTCAGTGTGATTGTCATAGAGAATATCAATACTAGCAAATTTAATGACACTTATTGTTGTCATTGAATTTTCCATATTCTACCAAATACAGAATCTATTTTAAGTTTTATATATTGAGTGTAATGTTTTTAAAAATAATAAAAAAATATTAATGTTTTTATTTTTTTTAATAAAATATATTTTAATATGTTATGCTTTACTGTTTAATTTTTTGTTGTATTATAAATCATTGAAAGTTGAATTTTTTATTTAAAAAATTGTGGTACCAGCAAAATAGGTATATTATTTATTTCTTATTTTATCATATTTATTATTTATAGATTCATCTGTTTCTGCACATCGGTATGCAACAGAAAGAGAAAATCTACCATTGATCCCTTGATGGATTCTAGACTTAGCTTTCAAGGCTACGGTAAGGAAGTCTGATAAAATGTATGAGAATTCACACTTTCAAAAAACTAATACATATATATGTTTCTTTTCCTAATAATATCTATAATATAACAATAATAATTGCAACAGAAATAATTAATAATAATCAATACATAAAAACAAGGTCACATTTAAATTGATTACTTAACAATTGAATTTTATGATGCCAAGAGACATTGAGTTGATTGATACTGATAAAATAAAAAAAAGGATTAATGTAATATGAATAGATTGATAATAAAAAAAAAATGCTTAATATATCTAAATTATTGATTAATTAAATTTGAAATTGACATAAATTGATTTATTTTAATTTGGAGACTGATAATGAAAAAATTAAAAATATTGATGTATATTTTGAATGATTGATTTGATTAATATATAAATTGATTACTATTGATTAATAATTGGATGTATTGATTTTATAAATTTTTGATTAATATTGATAAATATACACTAATATTTCAATTGACTGATTTGATTATTACAATTAATTTACATTGTTTTTTATTTGTACATTAATTAATGTGATTAAACACTAATAACATTTAGATTGGAATGGCTACATGAAAAATACCTCTCTTTATGCATGTTATAAAACTGAAAACTATGTACAATTCTCTAGTGCAATATACTGAATTGATTACAATTGAATACATATCTACAGTACAGAGAGATAATCAGTAGCTTTGGATCATTAACTTCCTAAAGACGTCCTTCGGAGTGACCGACAACCAGATAAAATCACACTATAAGAGCGAGTGGTGATATGGTTAGGCATCAGGCTTGTATGTCAGAGGGCACTGGGTCGGTCCCTCAGGATATAAATCTATGCATTTCAAATCAATACCCTCTTCTCTTCCGTTAATGTTTAGATATAATTATCAACATGCTGTTTGGTTTCACTTTCATTTCATTGAAGATAAGTGGTAACTTAGAGTAAACCTAAACAAATTAAATTTAATGAGGTTTAGAAGTTCAAGTACCTATTCTTTTATACTCAGTTCGTATATATTAATATATTTTTTTTAGATTAATATAGCATCAGGTTGAAATAACAGTTTTTTTATTCCGATGTGAAAGTGACAAAACAGAAACCTCTCAAAGGTAAACAACTGCAGAACTTCCAATAAAAAGGTGAGAGGTGTTGAAAATAAAGCAAGCAATATAGGCATAAAACTGTAGTTTGGTGTTATATTGGAGTGAATTGATTGTACATTTATTCGTTTTTCTATTTTAAAATTGATTTTTAAGCATCTTTTACACGGTTTATGAACTTAATTGATTATATGGGCCATACTTGACTGGTTCGTTTTGTTGACAATATTTCGTGGAGTATTATTTTCATTCGATTGGTTCGTAAAATAGACCTAGTTGACAACGGAAATTAAGTGTTAATTTGCAGCAAGTTATCCATGTGACCAAAACAAACATGACTGATTGGTTAGTTTAGCAACAACATTTGCTTTAATATAATTTAGATTAAATTTCAGAAAAATACTTATAATACTTACCCACATAAAGTCAACAAATAATTGCAGGCTAACAAAATTAAAAAATTATAGTACATGAAAAACCCTTACTGCCACAAGCTGAAGAAACCTTGATTACTAGTGTGTATCGCGGTAACTATGCAGCCATTTTGTTTTGTTGAGTATTTACCAGTTTTCTATTCATCTGGTCATCTTCATTATGTAGGATTACCACTGTGCAGGCAGGCGTGGTTTTACGAAACGACCAGTTGAATACGGCTATAATTAATTAAAGTATTAGGGTCTTTGGACCATGGGAAAAAAATACTGGTATTGTGAGGAATACATGCAGTGTCTAGAATCATAAACACTGAAAACTTAAAAATATGAATAAAATGAATGGTGCTCAAAAAGTTAATTGAATATATTATTTGCCAAACAATAAAAATGCATCATGTATGAAGATGTGAAATTTAATATACAGGTACCCAACGCTAATAAAAACAGTTTCTTGGCCCAAATATGTCAACTTTATAATGTATGTGTTGACAAGGGCAACTTGATTGATTTATTGTTTTTCCTAACAAATTTGTACATAGTATGTATTGACTGATTGATTGATTTTATTTAATGCTCAACATGCACAATCAATTAAAAAAAAAAGCATTGGCTCCAACAATGAAAAATATACACTCAGTTTGTAAAGCTATCCACAAATGATATCTGGTATACTTTTATTCAATGGAACAGTGTGTAAGGGTGGGGGGAGAGGGGGAAGGAATAAGGATGCTAACATTTCAACCAATCTTTAGTTACTCACTGTTGTATCTAGTCCATTTCTGTTGCGAAGAAATGACCTTGAGAGTTTTCTAAGTCAGAGAAATTAATAAACTATTTTAAATCTTTTTTTCTCGTCACAAAAGGAAATTGTGACCCAGTATCGGCATAGATTCCATGATCATTACTGACACAGCAAAATCACTTCACTTGATTTTTCTGATGAACATTTCTCGAAATTTAAGTCAGATTTTGAACTTGTTTCATTTTGACAATATGTTCAAAACTACATATTATTATTTTAGTATTAACAGCGAATCTTACCAAAGGCCTCGATCTAAATCATATACGTTATTACATAGGTCATTGGACCAAACAACACTGGAAACTATACTTTGCTCCCTGGATCATATTCAGGATATGAAGTATTCCACAATATTGCAACTAGTTATTATACAATTACAGCATGGTTTGAAGATAAGTAGGGAATTCTACTTCCCGAAGTGTTTGATGACTGTTCTTGGGACTGCAGTACCTCCCAATGTAAAGTGGAAGAAGGTAGTCACAATCATCAAACAGAGAGGGAAGTATAATTTTCTGCTTTAAACAAAATAAAACAGTAAATTGAATTTGTTTTACTATACCTTATATTATTATTATTATTATATTAAATCAACAAACCAACCATCTGCTAATGCCATTTCGATCTGTGAGAATAAAATTTACACAGGTGGGGATGCGGTACTCGATTTTGGGTAGTACTTGTGTTCTCCAGTGTCCGCCTAAATTTGGAACAGGGAAATAGTCAAAACTATTACACGACATACCGAGTCGAATTGACCGATTAAATGTTGTTATCACCTATTAATTTGTATGAGGTATTAGTAAAAGTGCTTCACTAATCTTGTACCCATGATTCTATGAGCGAATCATTGGATTTCTTGTTCACCCGAACAGAATAGAATTGTGCAGGCAGGATTGTTTGCTTTATTCGTACTAAAGGTCAATTCAAGCAGCGTCGTATGATGCAGTCCGAAGCGATTCATCATTGGGGAACAGTTATGCTTGTGTAGGTAACCAAGCACCAACCTCAGTCTAAATTATTGTGCAATAACATTAATAAATATCACTTAATATTATTTATTATAGAAAAATATTGAAATTTTTATTTCAGCTTTGTTACAAAGTACAAAGACATTTATGATTTTTGGTTCATGACCTTATTTAATAAATTCAAATACAATATTCAAATTCTTCATTCATTAGTCTAAATTACCATGTGACCCAAATTTGGTTACCAAATCATTTTGATTAATAATATCATTTGAAGCAACTGTAGAAATGGAAAATATATGAATTAATTTCTAGCATTTGCAAAAAAAGTTAAAATAAAAAAAAGCTTTGTATCAAAAAAAGGGTAACGTAAGGTTAAGCTATATATGAAATACATTTCAATTTCTAATAATTAGGGGATAAATCACTTTTTTGATCACTTCTGACTTAAATACAAAAGTAGACTGATTTACAGGAACGCTATATTTACCTAGGCTGGAAAGTGGTGCCCCAAGCACTCATTTCATAATGCTACTAATAACATTTTTTTTTTTTTTTGCCAACGGCCTGATGAGGCCATGATGGTTGACCTCCGCCGATAATTTGTAACATTTGGATACATTTTCCTAATCATTTCCGAAACCGATCTACCAATGATAAATTCATAGCTAATAGTGGAGGGAATTAGGCGGATTCGTTGTCAATTTAGACAGAGCCACCTGAGAAGAAGTTTTTTTTTTGCAATTTTATATGTAACAATGATGAAATTGCCACTAAAACTGAAATTAAATGAACTTTTGAAAAAATACATAAAATGTGGAGATTAAAATTTTACTGTCAGGCATACTAGAAAAAGTAATAGAGGAAAAAAATTTAAACACGAGTTCTACCGTTTGTGTGATATGAGAGATCCACTAGGGACTACTTAGTACATGGTTTCCATCAAATAGTGACTTTCACTTACTAGGATCAACATCCACCAAGTGGAAAAAATCATGGAACAATACTTTAGTAAATTGTCCTATTTCGAATGGGACGTTTCATGCTCAACAGAAAATCTGTTCAGTACTTTTACTAAAACGCTAACTTTAACGTTGGAAATACTTCGTTGAGTTTGTACTTATCATGGCTAACAATCATGCAGTACTCAATGGATATAAGCCCCAATCGAATATGCAGAAAGTTTCTGGTTGAAAATTTTATCTGATAAAGTACTTTGCCCTTTAATAGCAGGTTACTATACTGTACTGACATACAGTAGGTTTACTATAGGCCTACTCGAAAGACATAAGATAATCAATGAAAGTAGAACAATCAAAATATAGTGGCGACACATTTTATATTATATGTTGCCACATTAGAAATAAACTATGCTAACGCATCCAAAACATATGCCAATAACAATATAATGTCTCATTCTACTTATCAGCATGAGTTCTACAAGAAGAACTTGCCAAAGACAAGAAGTTCACCAATCTAACAGAGAAAGCCACCCATGTGAGTACATCAGTAACTGATTCTAACAATTCTAAGGCGGTAGTTAATCTATCATCATACTCACCTACAACTGCTGAACTGACTGTCTTACAACGTGGTCTGTCATTCTGCCCGACTGTTGCCCTTGACAACACCCAACTTTGCGGAGACCTTGAAGCGTATTTCAGGCATCTACGACTCAAGGAATATCACTACAACACTAACCAGACAAATGCACCTGCTGATAACCAATCTAGTATACATGATCAAGTGGAAAGTGACACACCACAAGAGCCGGTTGCACAAAATCATCCTACAATGCACACCAAGAAACGAGATACACTCTGGACACCACCTGACGGTCGCAATGCTAAACTGGACTTGTATATAGATTGCTTCAGGAACCGAGTACGTTCAGAAATACTCAACAAACAGCGCAGAATTACTTACAACCTTAGTGCCATTGAAAGAAAAGCTATAACTTCACTTAAATCCAACAAAGATATAGTCATCAAACGGGCTGACAAAGGGGGTGCAACTGTTCTGCTCGACGCTACAGCCTACATATCAGAAGCTCACAGACAACTTTCTGATACATCATTCTACACCCAGCTTCCATCTGATCCGACTTCTAAGTAGAAATGGGAACTCTACGTTATTCTTAAACAACTACCTGCTGACCTCAAGAAACACATTGAATGTAACACCCTAAAAGAACCGCATGCTGGAACTTTCTATCTTCTCCCTAAGATTCATAAACCTATTACCATCCGGGTCGACCTATAGTTTCTGGTATTGGTACCATCACAGAGGGAGTATCGAAGTATGTTGACCGTGTACTTCAGCCTTATGCAGCTAATGCCGCTAGTTTCATTAAGGACACTACAGATTTTCTCTGCAAGCTTGAATCTATCCCTCAATTGCCTGAAAACACTATCATTGCTACCATGGATGTTAGTTCCCTTTATACGAATATCCCGCATGTTGACTATCTGCCATTGAGGATACTTTGCCTAATGAAATTGCGAACCAAATCCGTTTACTTACCAACTTTGTTCTTACTCACAACTATTTTGAATTTAATGACTCTATATTTCTACAGACTAATGGGACTGCCATGGGAACGCCTATGGCACCACAATACGCCAATATCTTTATGGCCAACTTGGAACAGAAGCTTTTATCGACCTGTACATTACTGCCTCTTATTTATCTCCGATATATTGATGACATTTTTGTTATATGGACTCATGGCAGACAATCATTTATGGACTTCTATAATAATTTTAATACTTTTCACCCCTCTATCAAGCTTACTGTAGACATATCGGATTCTAACGTTAATTTCCTTGATGTCAAGGTATATGTACGTAATGGTAAAATCACCACTTCCATCTACAAAAAACCTACCGACACACAGCAATACCTACATGCATCCAGCTTTCACCCCATACACACAACTCGCTCGATCATATACAGCCAAGCTCTACGTTACAGCCGCATATGCTCTGATACTGTTGACAGAGACCAAAACTTGGACGAACTTGCTCACACATCAACTCAATTATGATCAACATACTATCACACAACAGATCAATAGAGCCAAGAAACATAAAGGCAATGATCTCCTCACATACAAAAAGAAGCAATCATCTAGCCGTATTCCTCTAGTCGTTACATATCATACAGCTATAAAACCCCTACAACGTATCATTGACAATCTTCAGCCTTTACTGCAAGATAATGATCTCAAACACATATTTCATGACAAGCCTTTTCTTGCTTACAGACAGCCAGCCAATCTTAAAAGGCATCTTATCTCTAGTAAATTTTCTCAGTCTACCCTTATCAATGGCACTTTTCCTTGTCACAGCACTAAATGTGAGCTTTGCCATCTTAATCATTCTGAAAGTCACATACTTGGACCCAATGGCTATATAATCAACATCAAAGGACACTTCACTTGCTCATCCACTAACATCATCTATGCCATTACATGCAATATATGCCCCAATGCTGTTTATATTGGTCAAACTGGCCAAACTCTCAGAAATAGAATTAATGGTCACAAGTTTGACATTAGACATAAGTTAATTAAGAAACCTGTAGCTGAACATTTCACTTC